GAGCTGATAGCCCCGGTTCAAGTCCCAAACTCGGTGCAAAGGGGTGAGCTCCTGTTCCTGCTCCAGCTCCTGCTAGCACTTCGGAAGTATACAAATGCAAGTAGATTAATAGGTATCCCTGGTGGGAAGGTAATAGCTGTGCTGGCCATGTGACCACGGAAAATGTCTTCAAACAAGTTTGCCTCCCTCGGCTAAGAAACAGAGATGAGCATTGCACCCTGACTCAGACATGATTGGCTATGGAAACCTTTACCTTTTTACCTTACGGACATTACTAACACCTTAGAAACATATTTTGCAATTGGCACTGAGTCCTAATGTGGGAGTATCCTGACTTCCATTTGTAGGCACTGCTGGTTTCACGCAGTGCATCGTAAATATACCAATTAACCTACAAGCAGGAAAATGGATTTTAAAATGGATTTCAAGTTCTCACTTCCAATGCCCACTTCTTTGGGGACAAATTTTGTGAGGAGAATAGATCTGCAGAACAATGTGAGAGAACAAATTGACAGATCTTGTGCTGCCAGCAAATCACTAATCTTTTCTTAATAACAAATATTTTCTTATGTCACAGGCTTCCTCAAGAAAGATAAGGAACTCGTACAACGTGTTTAAAGCAGAAAGCAATCGTGAGAAGAAGAAAAAATGGAGAAGAAGGTTACTGGGAACATTTCCATATTCTACATTTTCTAAATGGCCTTCAGAAAACTGACAAAGTTATAGGTCTTTTGGGAAATAATCTAATATATATTTCACATTATAGTACTGTAAAATTAAAAAATGTATTCCTTGAAATATGCACATATGCTTCTAAATGTAAGGTTTGTTTGTTATATTTATACCCCTTCTGGGTTTTTTTTCTTAAGACATTATCTCAAGCTGGTATCTAGAAGCTTATCACACATTGGGGTATTGATTCTTCTCAGCCCTGCTTTTTTTTCTATATTTAACTCTTACAAGCCCCATATAACCATTCTCTCTTCATCTCCCCACAGATCCCTAGCCCAGAAATGTAGCATCTAAAACTCTAGTGAACATTATGGATTTTATCTGAAGTCAGTAACTACTTGGGGAAGGTAAGAGGAAAAAAAATCAGCAAACGGAACCACGAAGCAAGCAAAGAACAAAACATCTAAGAAATGCGGCCTTGGACATATGAAGACCAATGAGTAACCTGATTTGAAACCAGATGAGTCTAGAAACCAGCCACTAAGTGAAAATCACTCATCAAAGAAGACTTATCCCAATAAGTAGAGCAACAGCCAGTGACGTGCAGCAGAGTCTGGAAGGCCAATGACTGCTACAAAAAGGAGGCTAAGAGAGGAATTCAGCTGGGGAGAGAAGTACATGCAACCTCAGAAGCTCCAGCTCATTTCTTGGGCAGTTTCCTGGTGGGGGTCGGGTGAGCATTTGAGAGCAAAAGGGTGCATGTGTGTGTAAATGTGGAATGGGACAACTTGCCACAGGACAACTCAATAATTCAATTTAATTATTTAAAATAATAAAAAGCATTTTAATTTTTGTCATACACATTTTATTTTGTCCTTCCTTTTGCATCCTTTCTTTAATGATTCTATTGCACCATTTTTTCGATATTAGTGTAACTCTTGTCCCGCAGCGAGTTGGCTGCGGAAAGCTGGCCATGGAAATTTGGCTGTGGCACGTTGGCCACAGCAGTTGTCCTAGACTAGGGGTAGGCAAGCTTGGCTCTTTTATGACTCGTGGACTTCAACTCCCAGAATTCCTGAGCCAGCTATGCTGAGGGGAAAGGGAGAGGTTTTCAAGCTGAGCCATGCTGGCTCAGGAATTCTGGGAGTTGAAGTCCATGAGTCATAAAAGAACCCACGTTGCCTACCCCTGTCCTAGACCATTGTGAACGTGCTGAAGCACAACTGAGCTACATTGTGCTGAGTACAGCTGGGCGATTAACCAAAGCCCTTTTTTCCTATGATTTAATATAATTATTAATTATATAATAATTACTCAATTGTCCTCTATCCCTTAGAACAGAGGTCCCCAACCTTTTGGGCACCAGGGACCGGTTCCATGGAGAGAGGTTTTTCCACGGACCAGAGAGTGCGTGGTTTTGCGTGCTGCCTGCATCTCGCAGATGGGGCTTTGCTTGTTTGTGCGGATCGGTTGTTGCCATGCTGAGGCCCGGTACCGGGGGTTGGGGACTCCTGCCTTAGAAGTTATTATCTCACTGATGGCCAAATAGATTTATCTGATTAGAGAAAATACATGCTGAGGGAAAAAGGAGAGGTTTCCAAGCTGAGCCATGCTGGCTCAGGAATTCTGGGAGTTGAAGTCCACGAGTCATACAAGAGCCAAGATTGCCTACCCCTACACTAACCAAGGCTACATCTCTATCAGTCTCAGATGCCCAATCTCAGCTGCCTACGATCTATGCAGCAAAACATATGGGAACAGCAAGTTATGCATGATGAAAGGGAGACTGATTGATGCTCAGTGAGACAAAACAAAGCAACCCTCATAATTTGTTGGAAAAGGCCCTTTTCAACCCTTGTTGCTATGAAAGGAAGAAAGGAATAGCTTTGTCCCTTTTTTTAAAAAAAAAATGCCTGGCAGTTCGCTATCTCTGGAGCAAATCAGCTACATGTAATATGGAGAATGTGAAAATGCCAATGAAAATAAATTAGATAAAAAGGAGCCTGGGAGAATGGAGACCTTGTGTTGATGCTTAAAGAATATTTCAAACAATATTTATATGATTCTATCCACTGAAACGTGAATATATACTGCCTTAAACTACTTTCACATAATTTTAAGCCACAATAGGATTCAGTGGAAAACATGCACTTGTGAAACTCCATTATGAAAGATATGTAAGGAACAAACACTTTGGCTATCTTTATGTACTGCAATTCAGTGCATGGAAGAGAAGCCCAAGATTGTTTATAGACTTAAATATTTACTTACACCCTGACTTACAAGTACAATTGGGGCTGGAATTTCCATTGTAACTTGATCATGTGACTAGATCCAATCTTACGACTATTTCACTGTAGTCAACAAGTGAATCATGTGGTTGATAAATGGATCACACAGTTGTTAAGCAAATCCAGCTTCCCCAGTTGACTTTGTTTGTTGGAAGCCAGCTGGGAAGCTCGCAAATCATGATCACAGGACCACAAGATGCTGCAACCCTCATAAACGGCATTTGCCAAGTGCCCGAATTGCAATTACGGGACCATGGAGTGGTGCAATGGTCATAACTTCAAGGACAGGATGTAAATCACTTTTCCTGAGACCATCATAACTTCTAGTCATATTTATTCTAGTTATATAACTTTATAGATAGGAGATTTTATATAGGGAGAGATTAACCTTGGGTATCCCAGAAGCCGTGTTCTCCGATGTTGCAGAACTGGTCCTATTGCTCCAGCTTTTTTGTTCTGTTTGGTTCTAAATTCATCAGAGGGAGAAACAAAAGAAAAAGTTGAGGGGTTTTTTTTCCCTGTGCCGCTGAACACAGTTTTAAAGAAGATTTACAGGTGTTTGGAAATGGTGAATTTGCACACATACGTTCTTTTCCGAGATCTATCAGAGATTGCATGATATAGAAATTATATCAATAAGAAAGATTAGCATATAGCTAATTTAAACATAGGTCCATGAATAAAAAAAAATCCTGCAATCATTACTATCCCAATTATTCTAGCAATTTAAATTTTGAAATGAGAGGCAAATTGGTCTTGATTTATGTGACATTCTTTGACACTCTCTCTCTCTCTCTCTCTCTCTCTCTCTCTCTCTCTCTCTCTCTCTCTCTCTCTCTCTCTGTCTGTCTGTCTGTCTGTCTGTCTGTCTGTCTATCTATCTATCTATCTATCTATCTATCTATCTATCTATCTATCTATCTATCTATCTATCTATCTATCTATCTATCTATCTATCAAAAGGCACTTCGTTTTTCCTTGAAGACTGCATTGAAACAAAAGAAAGTCCAGCTGCCTCTTGAAAAAGCACCTTTGAGACAACCATGACCTGGATGACTGAGAACCTCTTTTGTTACACTTTTTAGAAGTTGTTCCAATTTCTCTAGATCTTCCTAAAGAGTGGTCCCCAGAATTGGACAAAGTATTGGCCAATGCAAACTGGAATAGAGTTATTACTTTCTGTGATTTGGAAATTATATCCTCTTATAACCCTAAAATTTACTTTCCTTCTCTCCCCCCCTCCCCCAGCCATATCATACAACCGGCTCACATTTAATTTGCAGCCGTAAGATCTGTTTCATAAACGCGGTCATGACTCAGTCAGATATTCCCCCATTCTATACCTGGGTATATGATTTCTGTTTTTCCTTTTTTCAGCCATACATGAGTATTTCATCTTGAGTAATTGCATTGCATGGTTAAGCTAGTATGTTTAAGCATCCCCTTGTCATTTTTAGTTTTCATGGAACACAGGTTGCAGCTATGCCATCAGCACCTCACTTTTTAGAGTCCCCCCATTGTGATTTTGTCGTGCTTTTTAATCCTCTGTTTTATCTTAGGAAGTGGTGGCTATAAGAACATATGCTAAACACTCAATAAAATGGAAATGGTGATTATGATGTCAAGATGGTAGAAATGTTCCATTCCTCTCTGAAAAATACTGCCTTCTACCAGGATTCTGAGCCAACTTTCTTGGGGCAAATGCAACCACAACTACCTGCTGCTAACTCTGGTTTGGTTTCTTCTTTCTATCTTTACTGCCGTTTGATTTTGATGTGTAGTCTGCCCTTAACAAAAAGATGGGACTGTCCAGCAAAATACAGGTAGTCTCGACTTACAACCATTTGTTTAGTGACCGTTCAAAGTTACAACAGCACAGAAAAAAGTGGCTTATGAATATTTTTCACACTTAGATCATTGTAGCATCCCCGTGGTCACGTGATCAAAATTTGGACCCTTGGCAACTGGCATGTATATATGACAGTTGCAGTGTCTTGGGGTCGGTGATCACCTTTGGCGACGGTCTGACAAGCAAAGTCAATGGGAAAGCCAGATTCACTTAACAGCTGTGGCAAGAAAGGTTGGAAAGTGACCTTAAGCAAAACTCCCTTAACAACTGTCTTGGTTAGCAACAGAAAATTTTGGTATCAATTATGGTCGTATGAGGACTACTTAGTGTTGTGATTCCTCGCCAGCCAGTGGATCCAGCAGCTGAGTCTGAGGAATCAGATGAGGAGGGGGGGCCTGGAGTGACATTAGAGTCAGAGGAAGGCTTTGAGGAGCTCCAAGACTTACAGTCAGACGAGGAGCCTGGCCCCTCTACTCATGCTCAGGCTGAGACACAGCTGTGCTGGGAGCCTGAGTTGGACAGTGATGAAGAACAGTTGGGACAAATCCAGGATGCACGAAAGCACAAGCTAGAGAAGCGAGTAGGACAGAAAAATGCAGTGGAGCAGCTCCAAAGGCAAAGGAGAAGTCATTAGGAAGCCACTCCTTGGCTGAATTATAAAAGGGAAGGTGTGGGAGGTGCTGGTTGCCAAAGGCAACTGTTCATGTTGAGGATCGAGTTTCTGTGGACTGTGTTGTTTGCCTTGGACATTGACTCAGGTCTGTGAGAATAAAAGGGGTTGGTTTTTTCTTGCAGTTCCTGCCTGCTTGTTGGAAGAGGGGTTTCTCCTTGTGAGCATAACAAGGACTCACATAGGCTGGGACAGAACACCTGTATATCTGTCTTTTCAAACTCAGAAGTGAAGATCTAAACCTAATCTAAAAAATTCTGAAAATGAACTTTGAAGACCTAAACCTAGTCCAAAATATTCTGAAAACAATTTGTGTCTAGGTTTTGTAGCAACTGAATTGTTCATTTTAGGCCCCTGCTAGAATTATGTGATTGGTGAGCAACAAAATAGCCAGAGATGGGAGCCCTCTGCAACTATTTTAATTGCACATAAGAGAGCTGAGTTTTACCTGTTTAATGTGAAAATTATTCCATTTGGGGAGGTAATAACTTTGAATAACAAATCAGGATAACATTCCTATTTCCACTGTGTGCACCGATTGTTACATTTGTTGGATGTATTTTTTTTAAATGTATAGTTTTATTGATGTACTTCAAAACTTAATCTGTTTAATCTCTTAATCCACATAAGGTTCTATGATTTGTTTACCTGAATATTTGTCTTTACGGGCAAATAGAACTTAAGACTTGGATCAACTCTCGGTTTGTTTTGATCTTCAAGTGCTTTCGCCAGTTCACTCCAGCTTCCATATCCTGCACAGACAAAAAAGATATTGAAATAAAATTTCTGGCTAAAAAAATAATTGCAATACAATTACTATGGAAGTATGAATCCATATACTCTTTTATTTGATGCAATGATATGTATGTGATATGTTCCATACAGTATGCGACATCATGACAACATGTAAACAAAATTTTAAAACTTCTTTAACTGAAGGACTACTAATGCTACAATGTAACCCATAGTATAATTTTGGTGCTACATAAGTGCTAATCTGTTAATAGTCTCTTTCATATATCAACATTTAAAATAAAGATTAATCCTTGAAAATCCTATACAACCATGAGCATGCCAAAAACTACAACAGATTTAGGATGGCTGTTAATAGAAAAAAAAAAGAGACTTAGTCTTAGGCTGACTCTTGGGGAATCCCAAGTTAAGCATTTTTCATTTTTATTTTTTTAAATGCAAAAATCTCAAGAAGTCATCCATGAGATTGTAGTGTTCATACTTGAGAATTTGCAAGATCTGTATTATTTAATACATATTTTTGGTTGTTTCTGACATTATACATCGTTCCTGAAAATGGATCTATAGACTATAGCTGGTCAGGTTGTATGTAAAGTCTCTTTAAAATTCTTGTTTGATTCCATGAGCTGTAAACTAAAAAAAAAGTGAAAAGCCTCCTCATGAGACTGTAGTGTTCATACTTGAGAATTTGCAAGATCTGTATTATTTAATACATATTTTTGGTTGTTTCTGACATTATACATAGTTCCTGAAAATGGATCTATAGACTATAGCTGGTCAGGTAAAGTCTCTTTAAAATTCTTGTTTGATTCCATGAGCTGTAAACTAAAAAAAGTGAAAAGCCTCCTAATTTTCAATGTGTATTTAATTTACATTGTTTCAATACAATATTCCTTTTTGGAAGCTTGACTGAAGTCTTCCCTTTATTATGTGTTATTTATTTATTTATTTATTATTTTATTAATTTAATTTATATCCCGCCCTTCTCCTTGCGGACTCAGGG